CACTGGCCTCGTCGTTTTTTCCCAAGCTCGATCCCTCGGCTGTGATTTCGCAGGATGGTAGAGAGGAACAGTGGGATCGTCGTTGATCCATTCTTCCCCGTCGCTAATCAGATGACGAGGCACTGGCCTCGTCGTTTTTCCCCAAGCTCGATCCCTTGGCTGTGATTTCGCGGGATGGTAGGAGCAAGTAGCTCCTCCTCATTTTGTGGTACTTGCTCCTCCTCATTTTGCGGTATGCAAGGATTGGCGACATGCTGCTGAGCCAAGTGCTGGACTTGTACAGCGCTGCCTGGAGGTGAAGGGCAGCTGGGCGCTCAGCCTGGCTATGGCGAGCAGCCCACCCTGAGGAGGAGGAAGAAGGGGGCGAAGGAGGAGAGCGGCGAGGTACCTACCTGGCTATGGTGGACACCATCTTCATCACCTTGTTGGGCGCTGCATCTGGAAGGCCCCAGTTGGGGTAGTGCCGCACCAAGGAAGCTCGAGGCAGAGTCAGGCATGGCGGCGGCTTAGTCAGCAGCGGCATAGCTGCTTTGGGTTGTCCCTTGGACAGGTCCTGGAGTGCAGCGCCATAGCTGCTTTGTGTTGTCCTTTGCAAGTTTGCACCGAGAAGGGCAGAGCCCTCAGTTGTCTGCCGTAACCTAGGCTTGTGAGAAGTGGACGAAGGGGGAAGGCATAGCTATGGTGGACCTGCTGTTGTTGTTGTTGTGTCAGCAGTAAGAGGGAACTTCGGATATTGATTCTGGTTTATCCACTCATTCTTATTATTATTATTTGGAAGAAGAATAAGATTGGAGAAGCTAAGGAGGAGGAGGAAGGTGGAGAGAGAAGGGGGATTGTCATTGGTCTTGCTGGTGTACATCTACTTCTTCTTCTTCTTCTTCTTCTTCTTCTTCTTCTTCTTTCTCTCTTCTCTGGCCTCTATCTCTTTGCAAGTGCTTTCATTTCTTTTGCAATTGGGTGGCATTGTCTTTCACTGTGAATTTGCACTTAGGAAATGACCAGGATTGTAACATAATCTAATTCTAATTATATTCGAGGACTTTCTCAAAGTCGGGGACTAGGACGAAGAAGGGACTAGAAAAGCGTTAGAAATCAGGGACCCATACGGACAAGAGACTGGGATTGCAATCAGGCAGCTTTGAAAGTACTCCCCCGTCCCAGAGGTCATTTGGCGCGAAAAATGGGGAACCCCTTTGCAAATTGCAGGTTTGCCTTGGGAAAAAATGTAGACGAAAAACCATGTTGCTCTTTTGCAGCTGATTTTTTCTCCCCCCTCGGTGTCCTGGGAAACGTAGCCATGAGGAAGCTTGGACTACCTAGAATGAGGGTTCAGCCCCCACCAACTTCACCGCGAAGTTAACCGAGAAAACCATACACTCACACTTTCAGTTTCACTCAGTCAAGTGGTTTCATACTCATGGGTTTCCGAACAGCCGCACACACGAACATCGCACACTCACATGAACACGTGCAATGAGCAGCAGCAGATAAAGAGCACATCTGTCTATCTATAGGAGTAGATCCAGAAATATTTACTGAGATGGTTAACCCCACTTTCCTCAGAGAGAGAG